AGCACAAGTGATATTTGATTTATGCAGTGTAAATTCTATGTTGATTTTTTTATGGTGACCCAGTAATTCAACTTTCTTTACACAAACTTGCTTCTCTCATCACTTTCCTACCGGGCAACCATTCCTTTTAATAATAATATTCGAATACCGAAATATTCTCTTTATTCATTAGACTTCGTGTGGTTTTTTCTCAAAGTATAAAAGCAAACACGTACGCGTTATAATGTCCTGCGATTTAAGTGACCCAGCAATTGGGGAAGCATACGAAGAGATCGTCAACGGACAAGAAACTAATTGGTAAGATTTAAAACCTTTTTTTTTTTTTTTTTTTTTTTTACACCTTTTCTGCAGATGAGAATGTAGATTGAATCAAAATTTCTGATGTACGTATACATCGAAAGAGGCTCACAAAGCAGTAAAATTTATAGTTCCTAACATAATCTATAGGAAGTATAAATACCAACGCGTTACCAGCGTACTTTGTGATCACGAAAAACCAGATTATACCAATTAGACACCGAAAAAGCTATTCATCAGTATAGCTATCCACTGTCAATAATCATTATATTAATCACATAAATTCGCTTTTAGGCTCATCCTAGGATATCATGAGTCCAGAGATAAGATTTCTCTCTACTCCAAAGGCACTGGCGGTCTTGATGAACTTCGCGGTAATCTTAAAGACGAGGTACTTTATGGATTCTTGAGAATTGAAAATAGATATGTTTTATTTACTTATGTGAGCGAAGCAGTCAGGTGCGTTAACTGAAATTTGTGATGGAAAAATCAATTCCCTGTTATCTAAGCAAACAACGACTTACCAACTTTATCTCATTATAAATTTGAAAATAGTGGTGTACGAAGAGGTAATTATATATTTAAACATGTCCCCGAGTATTTCGTTACGATGTCCTGTTCGTGATTCTAAAAAACCACTTTCCTTTAAATTAAAGCTCGTGCTTTAGTCCACGGCAGAGCTGTGGGTGCATTATTTAAGGTACGTTGCAAAATTTTGAATTATTGAATTTAATGTGTAAGGTTGACAATCTATCTGCTTGGTTTCCTAATCTACGTCCTATTCTCCTTCGTTGTCAAGCAGGCTCATCAAGTCACAATCAATGCGTCTACCCCTACTGATCTTACGGAAGCTAATGTTCGCAATCGCTTGAAGCTCGGGGAACCATCTGAGAGATCGAATACTCCCCCGGGACCAAAACGAAACCAAAGTTTTAACAATTCATCACCTAATTTGAGTCCAGTTCAAACTCCCGCTTCACCGATGTCACCCCAAAAAATCGATGCGGACTACGAAGATGCCGCCGCTAAGCAGGAAGCAGAAAGACGCGCTGCCGAAGAAGCAGAGAGGCAAGCCCGTGAGAAAGGAGAGCGTGATCAAAGGAGAGTGGCTGAACAAGTTGCTAGAGAAGCTGCTCAAAGAAGAGCCCTTGAAGAGGCTGAAAAAAAGAGGCTTGATGCCATTGAACAAGAGAGAAAAGAAAAGGCTGCCGCAGAAGCAAAAGCTAAAGCCGAAATTGATCGTAAGGCTCGTGAAGCGGCTGAACGAAAACGTAACGAAGAACTTAGAACCAAATTCGCAGAATTGGAAAAGAGTGGAAAAGTAATTTGAATTGTTGAAATTAGAAAGTATTGCCTTTAATTTCATAATTATTAACGTTATGTAATTTATTAGGTCTTGTTAAGCGGATTCATTACAGTTCAAGGTGGTGGTGTATACGTGAGTTGTATGATTATTTAACTATCGATCTGTACTTCATAGGTACTTATTATTTCCCTTTTGTAAAACAGTTTTGGAAGCGTCGTTTCTTTGAACTTCGAGGAAAAACCCTATACCTCTTCCGTGACGAAACTGATAAGCTTCCAATTTCTAAACTTGAGCTTGATGGTCAAGTCACTGGTGTAACGGACGCCCAATCAGAAGTGCTGATACTTAATTCATTTAAAGTGGATTTTCGATCAACAGAGCCATATTATTTCTTTTCAGATGATAAGAAGGACAAAGAATCGATTGTTGCAGCTATAGGCAGATATGTCAAATGATCGTTTCTAGTACGTGAGAGCTAAATATTTTAAAAAATTGATACGAACAGATGACAAGTTGGACAACAAGCAAAAATTAGAGTACATCGGATACCATAGTTCTATATTGTCTTATTCTATCCTTCCGACTTATTTATATATTTTACCAAGATATCTAATTTTTTCCTTATAAGAATGTTTCTATTATTTATTTTTTCTATTACTTAATTATCTGGATACTTATATTTATTTTCTACTCAAAGCGCGTAAACGTTTTAATT